ACGACCTCGTTTTGCTGATATCTTCTGAAGCAGATCTACAGTGCTCTTTTGAAAGGTTCGCAGCCGAATGCGACGTGTGAACACTTCTATAACAAAATGCCTGAGGCATTCTCGTTTTCCTGCCCGTTGCACTCTTCAGACTAACGAAGAGGCAGTGGAGCAGATGGAGAAGTTCAAGTACCTCGGAGTCTTGTTTATTAATAATGAAGAATTTGAGGAAGAGACCGAAGAACTAATTGCAGTGACCAGCTGCGGCCTGTGTGAACTAGCCGGAACCGCTGTAACTAAGGCAGAACTGAGTCTAATGACTAAGCTCTCGGTATTCAAGTCGATCTCTATCCCGATGCTCATCACATCCCGGGCACGAACAGCTGAAATGAACTTTCTGAAGAAAGCTCGCTGAGTGTACTCATCTCGACATGGTCCAGAATACAGGTATTCATGACAGCCTTGGTGTACAGCCGCTGCTTTTCCAGATTGGAAAGTCACAGCTGCTGTGATGGTTTGAGCCGTCTTGCGGATAATTCCAGAAATTATGAAAAAACAACTAGTACTTGCCCAGCCTTCCGGCCAAAGACTCCGAGGACGGCCAAAAATGGCTTGGGACAGACGCATGGACACACTCTGCTCCATACCCGTTTTATGTTCTGCCGAAGTTTAGTCGGTGGCACAGGGTCGGAAACATTGGAGACACTGTTTGATGCGCCTGCCTCTGCAACCCGATGGGGTAAACGGTGATCGAAACCATCCGACCGACTGATAGAAATGAATGTGGAAAATGAATTTCCACAATCTAGTTTTAGATGATGAGATTAGTGAAGGAAAATGAATTTGAACTACAGATTGAGGTGACCTTTAGGAAGTCCACGTTGAAATGAGGTAAAGCATAGAATCACGTGCTTTTTGACAAGGGCGAAGGCAAAAACAAACCCAGGCTTGCAAGAGATACATGAATCTGAACGAAGCATAGGGGCAAGGCTGAGGAAATCGTATTCTCTAAAGGCCTTGGCCAACTGCGATTTGACTTAGGAGAAAATCATTTGCAACAAAGTTCACTACATTGTTTACGCTCGATAAAGATCGCGATGTCTTGCGTGACCTTGTTGCTGAGACGAATCAATCAACGGCCAGGAATTACTACTGTTTGGCAGAGTACAATGGCCAAAAGCTGATTATCGATCATTCGTGCTAATAAGTTATGCAAATAGTGCTTCCAGTTTGAGTGACTCATGTAGTGGTATTTAGCTGGTTCAACATTATTGCTTGTCAACATGCTGAAATTTGCATATATAATATGCACCGAGTCTCTTTCCAATAGACAGCTCAAATGCTGGTCGAGAAAGGGGGAAAACTGAAATTTTGGTGAAGTGTCGCCTTACGATTTTGCGCCCTTCGCTACTGCAGCGGTCAGTATTTCATCTTCTGTTTTCATTGCTTTCACATGGTTTATGATGCTCGCGTATATAATCTTTCGTATGCCAAACAAAGCAAGAGTTCTTCAGATATGTCATGCCTCTGTTCATATATAGGACATAATATAACAATTATGGTTTTGGATATTCATGAGAACTTCTTGTAATAAATAGAACAGTTGGTCATTCGTTAGCCCACCGAAGAGACAAGAATGAATTAACAGGCTAAGAGTAAAAGCAATGAAATGGAAAGCAGGAACGAAGAGAAGAGTAATAAGGCGAATTTCCTGCCTATATATCTCATTAGAGGCCCAAATGCAAGTGAGCCATGCGATGCATTGACGCACAATCCGGTGCAACGAGCCCTTGGGATGAGATAGGCTTAGAGCTCCATAAGGAGGGGCACCGAGTTCTAGTGCCGAGGCAAATCCACTAAGTCTCTTGAGCAAGGAATTCGTTCAATGTTGCATCCGTGCAGCAAACCGGACAAACAAACAGTAGAATTTCACTTTCAAGTAAGACACGCATGCGGTATGGTGTTTGAGTGTAATCATACCAGAACGGATGTGAGGTTGAACGATGCTGTTTGATCCAGCTCTTCTTAACATGCAATCCACCTTGACTCGCGTGACTGTTGATTATGCGGTGTGATAACCAGTTCCGAGTGTAAAATTCTTGTCGTTCTGTATTTTTTGTACTAGGGGTGCTGAGTATAGAGTGATCCCGAGCTCGAGCCTCAGTCTCGTCATCCCCTTTCCTTCTTTCGAGGTTGATATATAAGTACCACACTGTGGATCAGAAACAGAAGGTTACACATTGCTGGTGGCACGGAAATGGTGCTCAGCGCCACACCATTGACTTCATGAAAAGAAAGCACCAGAAATGGCCCCGTCGTGAAACCATCATTCTAACCGTTAAAAAACCTCTTCTTTTTTTTGTTTTTGCTGTTGCATAGTTATCTATACGGAAGTGTTGGTAAACCAATGAGTTATGACTTAAACGAAGCAAAGAGCAAATCAGAAATCGTTTAAGGCTAAGAACTGCTTGCTAGGGCTTGTACGATTACAACACTCACACATAACCCTCACATATAACCCGTTCACGGTTTTCTTGAAGGGTTTTCATAACAGAGGGCCCCGATAGCTGTAAGCATTGCGG